AGCCTCCCTGCCTCCCCAGGTCCTCACCCCTGGCCTCCCAGAGCAGACCCCCCCCAGGTCCTTACCACCCTTCCCAGAGCAGCCCTCCCCAGTGCCCCAAGCCCTTTCCCAGACAGAGGTCCACTGGGAAGCAGTCTGGAGACAGCAGGCCTGGTGGACACTGGGAGCCCGCAGCTGTCCACCCAGGCTCCTGGTCTCCTCTCCCAGCGAGTTCAGAGAAGTCCGTCTGGCTGTTTGCTGTCTGGCTTTTTCAGCTGGGAGCATGCTTCTCCTCCCACCCCATCCACGGCCCCTCGTTCTCGAAGGGTGAGGGAGAAGGAGAGGGCCGGGGCAGGAAGCAGCCGGGGAAGTGCAGTGAGACCTGGGGTGCACTGTGAGTGTGAAAAGAAAGAGAAAGTGAGAGCAGTCTGAGAGCCCCCCTCATTTCCTCGGGGAGGAAGTGCTGCCTGTCAGAAGTGCTGATTCAAGCACGCGGGGCTGCTCTGAGAGGGAGCGCCCTGTTCCCAAGAACCCCCGGCTGCGGGCTTCCCTCCTCTGTGGCTCAGACAGGAAGAGCATGCAGCTGTTGGTGTGCCCCAGAGTCCTGCCGCTGCGCTGCATGGGCCTCTTCCCGCAGCCCTGTCTAGGGGCCGAAGCTGCAGTGATCACCGGTCAGCAGTGACCCTTTTCCGTCTGGTTCACACGTGCAGAAGGCCCTGCTGGGTCCTCACCTTCTCTGAAAGCCATCAAGTGAGTGATGCAAATCAGAACCGTGAGACTGTGCCTGGCCGTGGTCCACGAGGAGGTTTGCTGGGCATTACTCTGCGAAAGAAAGTCAATGAGTTGTAGTAAACACCCACAGACCTCTGAGGCCAAGAATGAATCGGAACTTACAGAACCTGATCGCGTCCTTTCCCATGTCATCTACTTAAGGGGTGAAGAGGTTGACACGTCTCAGAGCTAAAAGCAGGACAGAGTATGGAGCCTTCCCAGCCCACTGAGAGCCTCGGGTCTCAGCATCAGCAGCCTGTACGGGTCATCTGGACCTGGATCAGCAGGTGGTCCCAGTCAGGTCAGAAAATCCTCCTGGGGTTTAGCCAGAGTCAGACCCTCTCCTCTAACTGCTTAGCTTTCCCTGGGCAGGGTCCCAAAGATAACTCTACACTGGCCCTGGCTCTCTCCAACGTGTGCTCACACCTGCTGGGAATCTAGGATTGTATAAGTCAATATGAATTTTTAAAAATCACAAAAGCAGTTGGAAGGATGGTATGGTTCATGGTTTTGCCAAGACTCGAAATCTCCCTGGTACCTGACATCCCCCAGGTCAGCGCACAGGGCCACCGGCACCATCAGCACCACCCGGTGACTGCACTGTGCTGTAGGAGAGCGCAGCGTGGCCTGGCCAACGGCTTCTTCCCACAGACAGGAGACGCCCTGAGAATTCATCTGCTCTCTGGAATCCAGCAGCTACCATACACACGAGTTTCCTTCTGCAAGGCAGAGCGGGTGCTGAAATAGAAAAGAGTGACTGATCTCCGAGTCACGGTGCGCTGCATCAGTCTGACAGGTTGCAAAACTGGCCCGAGGGGTCTTCTTGTGAGTCAATTAGTGTGTGAAGTGTGATTCAGCAACATTTCCCTTGACCAGTCACCCAGAGAGCAATCATGCCCTCTGATTCTGTCCCCCGGGGCCATTCTTTTTCTTTATTGGTTCCCCTGGGAGACTGCAGGTGTCCGGCTGGGCGGCAGGGCCAGGCTCCCACGCCCCCTGGCCTGGGCTCAGCTGCGGTGGCAGCCTGAGGACCTTGCTCTCCTCAGAGCTCCTGTGGAACAGAGCATCTCCAGGACGCTCCTGTCTGTGCTGCTTGGTTTACTATCAGGCAGAGCACGAGGCCTCTGAAGTGCAAGGGTTAACCGGAGTTTTTTCGAGTTTCTAGGCTATAGACAATGCCCATTATGTGATTCTTCCCTCCACTCTCAAGACAGGAAACCACAAATTACCTCATTTTGCACAATAATTTTGTGCTCTGACTCACTTAGGAGGTGTGACTAGAATCACAGAATCTAAGTCTTGAAGGGAACAGAGAGGTCAGCTCACTGACTTATCATGGGAATCACCGAGGTTGTTTTTGGTTGTTTTCTTTAAATACAAGATTCCTTCTCTCTTCTCCCCGCCCCCGGAGAGCTGGTTTTCTAGGTCTGACTGGAGCTCCAGAATCTGTACTTTCAGAAGGTTCCCTGGTGATTCAGAGCATGAGCTCAGTCTGTGGTACAGTTCCCTGTCCCTTCAGAGGGAGGCACATCTGTTTCCCCCCCTTTTTTTTCCTGTCCTGGGGATTGGGCCAGGGTCACTCTACCACTGAGCACCATCCCTAGCCCCTTCTGAAAATATTTTCTTTGAGACAGGGCCTCACTAAGTTGTGAAGCTAGGCTTTAGGGTGCAGTCCTGCCTCAGTCTCCCTCCTAGCGGGCATCACAGGCGGGCACCACTGGCTACATTCTGACTGGCCGTCTCCCGGCTTTGGCAGCGATGAGTAAGAAACACAGCGTCGTCGGGTGGAATCATGCTCACGGCTTCCCAGGCCCAGCCTGCGCACACGGCTGCTGGACACTAACGATGAGCACTGGACTCTTAAAAGGCATGCGGAGGCCCTGCTGTCACAGGGCTGGCTGGCGCCAGATGTCAGGTTAGGCACCACCCAAAGCATCTCACTACCTCCACGGTAGGCGCGGGAAGTAGGCTGTGGGATGCCCGTTTGGGGAGATGGAATTCATGGCCACATTCCCAGGGCTCTGCTGCTCATGTGTCCCAGCATTATCCGTGAGCATTCAGTGACACAATAATCGCAGATTGGTAGTAACACTATGCTTTTTATTTGTGTGTGTGTGTGTGTTTTAATTAAAAGAAGATAATTTTCTGAGTCTAAGAAAGATGCTTATTTTCTTTCTGTGAGCAATAATTATCACAAATAACTACTAACAGTGTACATGTATGGATATGTAATAGCAAAGCCCACTGTTATGCATACTTATCATTCACCAATAACAGTTTTTTTAAAAATTATTGGCTGTCTGCAAACATCTCAGACACTATTGTGCTCTATTTACAAAGCCTTAACACTGCGGCCATGGCCGTCCCTCATTGTCATGAGGTTGTCTCCTCCCGGAGTCCACATTCCCTAAGACCCTGTCCTAGGCGCGGGGGAGATGGGCCATGTTTGTTTGCTTCAATTCTCAATATTTTATTTATATAAAAATAAATAAATTCAAAATTTAGTGGAACTTCACTTTCCTGCCTTTACAGGAAGCTGACTCGTAGATTATGTAAATACACTTAGCCTATCTCGTTTTATCTCATAAATACGATAAGTTCTTATGGCCAAATGATGACTCTAAGTCATTTGTAACATATTTCAGCTGAAACTCCACTATGACTAGTATTAAAAAAAATAACAAGACCCTAAGCCTAGGCTACTCCCCAGCCTTTTATTTTTCAACTGGACCACGTTTTCTAAGCACTCGGGACCTTGGGAAAAATCCCGACCACGGGAGAAGAAAGGGGCCTTTGAAATTAAATTGTTCTCAAGAAGCCAAAGTCCAGAATGGTGATGTGGGCGGAGGTCGCGCTCAGGGAGGTGGGCAGAGCGGGTCCTGGGCGAGGGCTGCTGGGGGCCGTGTCCCGTGACCTGGCAGCAGGGGCAGAAGAGGGCTTGGGAAGGCCCACAGCAAGACTGAAGGCGTCCAGTCCCACCGCCGGAATCCAGGCTCTTGATGGCCCAGTGACTTCAAGGATGTAGGTTCCAAGACCCTCAAATGAAGCACAAGGAGGTCCCTGGCACTGGGCATGGCTCCCAGGCAGTCAGCCAGTGGTGGCTGCCCGTGGCACTCAGTCGCTCCCTGGCCCCGAGTGAGGAAGGAGACGTCTCAGTGAGACGGGAAGGGCTCTCCACACAGGAGCAGCTGTGTCACAGCAACCTCCACGTGACACCTCCTGGAGCAGCATTCTCCAGGGACCCGGGACCCCCACAGCCACAGTGGCTAGCTGGCGGAGAGCCGGGCAGGCTGGCCCAGCAGAGGCACCCGGCAGCACACAGGCTCCATCCTCCAGCGGCCAGGCTGTGCTCCACAGAAACCCAGAGACTCCAGAGGACTGAGTGAATCTCTCAGGAAAAAAAGAAAAGAGCCGTGACCTTGCTTCTTCTCGACACTGAAGAACGATTCGTACCGCAGACACTTGCGTGGGTCCATCAACTCGTGCCTGCGAACAGAATCAGCTAACCCCGTCCTAGGCCAAGCTGCGGTGATTCTCAAGCTGGGGTGAGGCCGCTGCCCAGCAGCACTGAGCGATGGCAAGTGGCATCACCTTGGCTGACGTAACAGCTGGGCGGCGTCTAGTGGGCTGGAGTCAGGGAAGGAGGGCTCACACAGCATGCGTAGGTATCCGGTGGAGAAAATCCTCCCACAAGAGAGCCACAGATAAGCCATCATCACATCCTACATGACCGAAGTGTACCAGGTTCTACCCAAGAAACATGGCCACTGGCCACGTCCACGTGGGAGGGGAGTGAGGATGGTGACGTCCGCAGACACCTGGTTTTTCCATCATCTGGGTCACATGGACTCGGGTGCTGATTGTCCCTGTGGAGACACGTGGTTTACTTATTGTACAGGAGCCTTAGGATTTAAAATTCCTACTGCTTTACAGACCTCTTTAAAATAAGTTCTATGTCCACATGTTGATGACAATTAAACACTGTCACTACACGACAGAGACTGGCCCATCTCCCAATCCCCCCTGGCCCTTCAATTCTCTGTAAATAGCTCTGAGAGATCCTTTACTGCAAAACTTTCTATTTCCTGTGGAATTAAAAAATGTTTCCAGTGCATTCATGGATTGAGCAGGCTCATCTGATTGCACTGGCTCACTTTCCCCATGAGTTCAATAGGTTATATTTTTAGCATTTTTCTGAAGCCAGAAAAAGAGTCACCCAAAAATCCCAACAACACCAAAGTGCTGATTTTCAGAAGGGAGTTTTCTGGCCACAAGTACTGGATTAATTTTCAAGTGATTATATTCAGAGTTAAAATTCAACAACTATTAGAAATCTATTCTTTGCAGAAGTTATCTCCATTTAAGTGGCTGAAAATATTGTTCATCATTACATGATTATCAAATGACTATGAAGAATGTAAAATTAAACTTAGTGACTTAGTTACTGCCTTGCTAATTCTGCTGTAATTTTTTCAAATGTCTTGTTTTTAATATAATATAGCGGACTATCTCAATACTGGCTGGATTAAGTTGAATAAAGAATTTTTATGTTCAAAAAAATAAAATAAATAAAGTTATTGTCTATTGTTGTCCTCCATTCAGATTAAGAATATTTTAAAGTGTCAAGATAACTGGAACTACTTCTTATCTCTAGAGCAATTGATTTTTTAAACTTAACTCTTTGAAAGTAATTCCAAGAAAATGATCAAGTCAGTGGGCTCAATGGCACACACTAGTAATCCCAGCAATTTAGGAGGCTGAAGCAGGAGGGTGGCAAGTTCAAAGCCAGCCTCAGCAACTTAGCAAGGCCCTAAGCAACTTAGACCCTGTCTCACAATAAAATATGAAAAGTGCTGGGGATGTGACTCAGTGGTTAAGCACCCCTGGGTTCAATGCCCAGTGTCCCAAATAATAAATAAATAAAATTTAAAAATGATAAATCTATGTGTATAAAGCCAAAATGAAACCTAAGATAATGAATTCATGAAATATTATAGACAATCTTTAAAATCAAAGATGGCTGTGATGGCTAATTTTATGTGTCAATTTGACCAGGTCACAGGCCCAGATACTTTATCAAATATTATTCTCAATGCATCTGTGAGGTATTTCTGGATAAGATTAAGGTTTTCATTGGTAGACTGAACAAAGTTGATTGGCCTCATGTAGATATTTTTATAGAAAAATGCAAATGTGTCTGTGTGTGTGTGTGTCCACCCATCTTTTTGGTTCTGTTTCTCTGAAGACTCTGAAGAATCCTAACTAATAAAATGGCATTTGCAATTCAACTGGTGAGATTAATGAACAATTAATTATATGCATTATATAATTTAAAAACAAGAAATTCTCCAGTTTGGCAAACTGTGCGATTTATACAGCATCCAGGAAAAAAAAATGAACTACAGAAATGAACAATTGTGTGCATTTTAAATGAAATGAAATAACGTGGTTCCACAACAATCCTACAAACTTTCACTGCCTTCAGCTAAAAGACAGGGAGTTATTCATATTTTCCCCACCCTGGGGGGAGAGCTAGCAATGGCCCCCACCTCCACGCAGCTGCCAGAGTCAGAACGATACTAGAAGAGCAGAGGAGAAGGTTGGCGGAAGGGTCTCTGGCGAATCTCAAAGTCTTGCCCAGTTCTCGTGAAAGCTAACCTCCCCTGAAAATCTTCAGGCCACCAACCAGGTGACGTTCCATGCCCCAAACGTGTTCTTCATCCAGCGAC